GGAAAGAGAAAACAGGCGAGGAGGAAACTCGCAAGTATTCGGATAAACTGCGAGATGTGTGTGCACTCGCGGAACGACTCGGTTGCTCCTTCGGCCAATTGGCTATCGCGTGGTCTTTAAAGAATGAAAGTGTTCAGTGCCTTCTCCTCGGTGCGTCAAACATAGAACAGCTATACGAGAGCCTTCAGAGTTTACAGGTAAGGTGTGAGGTAAGGTTGTGCGAGAATGTGGAAGGTTGCGAATTTGAGATTGAATCGAATCTCGAAATTGAATACTTTCAGCTAATACCGAAATTGAACGCCAACATAATGAACGAAATTGAAAGAATTCTCGACAACAAACCGTCGCGACCCCCGATGATTTCTACTCTGGCGCTCAGATGACAATCAATTTGCCCCCACGGAAGTGGTGGGGGCTCCTTAGAGGACGGAGGTAGCCCGAAAAGCGAGGGTGCTAATAGTCAAGATCAAGAGCAGACCAAAGAGCTAACCGGGAAAATACCATTTTGCGAGATACAGTGAAAATACGGTGATCGCGCATCGTACACGTTTCTGCAGATTTTCATCTTGGTCGATCGGAAGCAGCCAGCCAAACAAGTCAGCCAAGATAAGCGAAATCGAACCGAGCCAGGTCAGGCTTGTTTGTAAGCCAATAACAAATACTCCAATTATCCGGTACGCGTTCTACGTGCACGCTCAACGTGCCCCAGGCGCGTATCTGTCCGCGTAAATGAATCGACGACAATACTTACGGTTACGGTTACATTTGCGATTACGTTCACGTTCATACGTGCATAATATTATAGTTTAAGACCGATATTCGCAGGTAAATTCCGATCCGCACGCTCTTTTCGATGCAGCTATGACATCATTGCCCTTTAGCGACATTCGCGAAATCAGTGATTCGAAAATCGCATTGCCTGAAATTCGTTTCGTCTCGTTTCGAATGGGAAAGCGATCGAATCGAGGTTTTCTACGAGTCACACTGTGCAAGGTGTTCATACAAGTGTAGAGATATGTAGTACGTACCTACAATTGCGTAAAACGATGTTATCGCGTTGCATGTCACTTTTTTCAGCTTGGAAAAATTCGTCGTGCCGTTTCCGATTGTTCCACCGATTCCGGCCCACGACAAAAACGAAGGACCGAGAATACTTTCGATCGCGTCGAGATTTCGCCGCGAACGAACGTCTATAGGTATACATACATGTACGGTATTCGAGATGGGTGATATCTGTGATGACGCGAGGGTGTATAAAACGGCGTTTTCCCGAGTCGGTGAAGGACGGGTCGATATTCACGCGACACGGTTCATATAGATTCTAACGCGAGTTTAGGGTAGGTAGTTGTGCGTAGTTGAGGCAAATAATTAGACAAGTATGTACATAAGTATTTAGACAGAGGGTGTGAATGAAAAGCACGAATGGCGGTAGGTAAAGTGAAATGACACGCTGGTGGACATGGAACCGAAAGAAGGACGACGATGACGACGACTCAAGGAGGGAAGAAGAAATGTGTGGCAAAGGCGTTTCCGCCCTACGCTTATAACTACATACATATTTCGTTGGATTCGTTGTACTGTCTCTGCTATTGACGCGTGCACGTTAAACCGGTTTTTTTCTCTTTCGCGTTCGGTTCTTCGAATCAAAACCGTCCTTATGGCGCAAAGCGACGCCTCCTAGAACTAACGAACGAACGCTTGAAAATAATGTTCTCGAATACGAGATACGAATGGTCCGTACGTACCTTGCACATGCCTAGAAACACGTAGCTGTATAACTAACTACTAAACGAGTCCGCCGTATTGCGGAATTACGAAAGCAAGAGGAGCGCGAATGAGGCGGTAGCGTGGGAAGGGAGGAATGAAGTGGAGGATAGAGTTAGAGCCAGGAGAGGAGATGGGAAAGATCGCTTTCGGAGATGTTGGATCGCTGTCGCGGTTATTACGATAACCGTTAATTAAAGCCGAATCGGCAATAACAACAGCAGAGTAACGAACCGGTTGGTGGGATCGCGATTAACGTTACTGACGTCAAACGATATATCGAGTGCCGATTGCAGTGCTGGGTACACTTACGACGCCGATTACGCTAATTATTTAACAGTTTTTTCACGCACGTTGCAATCGATGATATTTTCCACGGAAACTTTTATCGGACACCACGATGTACGATAACTGGACGTAACAAGTGCGAGCACGACGTATGTACATATAATACTTGTATATTTTATTCGCCGGGATCTATATGTACCTACATACCTACAGATGGAAGTAGCGGCCACGCGATTCGTTCCGAAGGAGTCGAAGAGGAAAAGAAATTAAACTGGCAAAACGTCGAGCGCTTTGTCGCGAATTGAAAGTTGTCCAGCTGCGTGCTGTACGAATGGCTGATCGTTCTAAGAAAAATCTACACGAAATGCCTCAACTGTGTTCCGCGCGAACAATCCTCGTCGATAAAATAGGTAGTCCGAATGATCTGGAGAAACGAGTGAAACGAAGGAAGAGGGTGGAGGGGCGGAGGGAAGGAGAAATTGCGGTAACGGATAACAGTTACGATTACTACACGTGAAACGTAACTGCGAACGAATCGCGAACGGCTGAACGGACTTGTTACATTTACTATACATACGTATTTATTCCGAAGTACAGGCACATTTTGCGCGTGTCGTAGATAGATGCAAAAAGGTGTATACGATCGAAAGAGACGATGCGCGTGTAGAGAGGGTGAGGACGTGCGTCTATATGTATGTACTTTGAAGAAGCACCGGTTCTCTGAGCAGTCGAGCTACGTAGGCAGCTAGCCGGTTATAGGATAACCGACGGGTTATCTTAAAGGTGTCTGAGAGGTGTACCACGCGTTACCCGGCGGCTATCTCCGCCGTTTACGCGCACTAATTGTTACCGTTCTACAACCGCGAGACACGAATGCCGTTATCGCGAGAGAAGGTCGATAGAACTGATTACAGCTGATCGCGTTCTGATCTACCCTTGAAAAAGTTTGCAGAGGTGATTTGATCGTACCACGAACGGTAGCTGATTAAACGTATGTATGTAGGAAAGAGTCGCGGCCGACGACCAAAACGTAGCCTGAACGGATCTCGTGCACGAAAGAGAGGGAGAGAGAGAGAGAGAGACAACACGTGTCTGTGTACGCCTCTACCTACCATCTACCCTGTTTTTATACATACATGCATACTTACTTATATCCATTTACGTTACGGCAGAAAACGTAACGAGATTGAATTCAAGGAGAAATACTCGTTTAATACGACCACAGTTTTCTTTGCGAGTGCACACAGTTTAAATACGCGTATATACATAGAGTGAAATATGAGCAATCGCCGCATATCCTTATCCCTTTATACGTAGAAGCGTATACATATGTATGCAAATACTTATCTATTACGTACATGTATACGCGCACTTTTCAAATTTCTTTCCCTCGGCACGCTGTCACGAACCCAACAATTCTGAAAAAAGTCGACGGCGTTTCGTTGAACAAATAAATCGAACGTTCGAAAGAACGTGACAGACACACACGGGAACTATGATAAAAACAAACGAAACACTATTAGGATAACAAGATTTTCAAAGTCTTTCGAAAACTTATACCAACGTTGTAAGCAATGTATTGAGTACTTAGGGGGCTATTTTGAAGGAATTATAAATAAAAAGAAACATGTTATCCTATGCGTCGTTCCCTCTGATTTCGTTCTCCTCAAAATACGTATTTACATAGGTACAAGATAGTGGTTCGCAACTTTCTTTTTCTTCGTTACTTTTCCCTTCTCCTCTGTACCCTACACTTTCAAGCGTTACGAGATATACAAGTAGTACGATACATGTGTACATGGAGGCAAAGAGATTACATAGACTGAGCGCGTGCGATCGTTCGCTAATAATCACACATTGGTGCATTTACGAAGAAGAAAACGTTCAATTCTATGAGAATAGTGAATATTAAGAATACGACGAATAATAATAAGCATATGAACCCTACTTTCTTGTTCAAATGAAACTTGAAGTATGCTATAACCGCGAAAAGTACAACTATGCAGGCGACCATTGAAATGACGCTGTACGTTAGTGCTCCTGACTCAATCGTCACGTCTCTTCCTGACATTAGACATTTGATCGTCCACGGCAAGCCTAGGCAAAGTAAAATGTCGAGAATGTTCGCCCCCAGTGTATTGCTCATTGCCATGTTTCCATCGCCTGCAAGTACGTAATATGTAAAGTGTTTGGTTAGTTGGACGATCGATATTTCCGAGCGATGTGCATTCGATCGTAGGCACAGGGAACAAGGGGGAAGAAGCTTACCCTGTCTGGCTAAAATCACAATTGATGCGACCTCCGGCATGTTTCCACCGGCGGCTAAAAACGTAAGACCCATGACGGAATCCGGAATTCCTATCGTATCGCCGATAGCCGTCATCATCCAAGAGACCAAGTACGAGGATATTGCAATCCAAATCATGCACATGACGAACGTTAACGGATACCAATGCTTGAATCGTTCAACTCGAACATCGGGTACGGTCACGAACAGTAAAAATTTCAACGGCCAGACTAGCGTGAACCAACATTTTGCGATCGTACTTTGCTCCCTCGGCCAACTAAATAAATATTCTGCAAGCAGAGACGTACGTTCTCTTGATCGCATTCGAGAAAGCCCAGGTAGATGCAATATGTGTAACAAAGCGTACGCTTTTTTAACAACACGTACCGGACATTGAGCGTTTCGCCGATTTCTCGCAATTTTCTACATTCTCCGATCCGTTTTGTTGCTCTTCCAATAGATCAACGTTACGATTCTTCTTACTTGTCGTCGCCGTCGTGGCGACAACAGCATTCGATTTATACGAACCAACCGGAGACGTGCTCTCGTTGTTGTTAGACACTGTGCAACATCAATCGCGAATAATTTAGCCT